GAGCAGAGAAAATCAGAAGAAATATCATGTATCTGACCTGGAACACAAACTGTTTCTATTATACGCGCTGGTGAAACCAGGAGTTTGCTTACGAGACACTGAACTCTGCTTTCCCTCCAGATATTTCCACCTGGGTGAGTCATTTGTGGGTCAGGAAAACACCACCTCCCCTGACTGCACATGATGTGTTACAAAGAACACGGATTATCTTGGGTGACTCTATGTATGTGTGTTAACACATCTTAAAAAGGAATATAATTATGTTAAAAGGAAATGAGTGTAGCAGTCTCCTCGCTCCCTAGATCTGTCAAGTCTAGGCACTTGTGTGTGGTGTACTCCAAGCAGGTTAAGACCGTGTAAACACCGAGTCCTTCAACAGCAACACGCAACTTCTCCAGGTCTGGCATGCGGCGTGAGCAACACGCAACATCAGCCCGTAAACCATCCCAGCGTTTGCGCTCCTCGTGTTCCGGACCATGACGACTACAAAACTGCTGCAGCTGGAAGAGAGGTCCGCTTAGGAAGGGAGGGAATCAACAGATAATATCAAATGAAAACAAGGGATGAAGATGATTTCAAAATTAACAGTAGTGTTTATGTGTTGAGAGCTGACACCTGTAAACACTGCATCTTTCTCTTTTTGTACAGTTTGATAAATACGTGAACTACAAAGCACTTTCCATGTATAAACCTGAGTGTCATTCATGATGGACTACTGCTGTATTTACACCGACCATGAATGGCAGCGACCGAATGTTACTGGGCCTGCAATGAAATCATTTCACTTTAAACTCGAAGGAAACAAAGGAGCAATCTGAAGCCACGTGTCAGTAAAACTTAAGTGGAGCAGTTGTCAAATAAAGCCAACTATCACGTAGATGAGAGGAAAAACTGGGTTCAAGGAAGTTGTGTTTTTCTTGAGTGCTTCGAGTCTCTTGTGACACAACGCGGAAATCTGTCTCCTCCTCCTCCTTGGTATTACTTTTCCGTTTTGTTTAAAACCCTATACAGTTTCTGATGTCCATGCATCAAATACAGGTTCCTGGCTGTGCAGGGGGCTGCTGTTTCCGATTTCGTATTGCACCCGATTTCTCTTTGTAGGCAATTGGCATCTGTTGTGAAATGTCCACCAGTGCACTGGCCACTGCGAGACCTGATGCAACAAAACGAGATGGTCACGAAACAAAACAGCTAGAGACAAATCATTCCCCCACTGCTGAGAAAAACCCTCCAAGCCACAAAACGAGTATCGGTTTTTGAGCTGTTCTTAAAAAAAAGCAATAGAAAAGCATTTTGGCTTAAGAGATTAAACTCTACCAGTTATTCTGAAATCAGCTTTTAAATGCTGCATGTTTTATTGAAAGCAACTGCAGCAGAAAAACCTGGAAATAAGAACTGTGGATATCAATGGCCATGAAACCCATAATATTAAAGGAAGGTGTCTTTCTCAGCACCATTCAATGTGCTAGAACAAATCCTGAATGCACATGTCCATGGAGGTTCCGCTGCACTTCCCAGGCATCCGTCATCTCTGCAACCCCCTCCTGGCAGATCATAGAATCACAGGATGGTTTGGGTTGGAAGAGACCTTAAAGAGCACCCAGTCCCACCCCCTGCCATGGGCAGGGACACCTTCCACTAGACCAGGTTGCTCCAAGCCTCATCCAGCCTGACCCTGGACACTTCCAGGGATGGGGCATCCACAGCTTCTCTGGGCAACCTGTCCCAGTGCCTCCCCACCCTCTCCAGGAAGAATTTCTTCCTGATGTCCCATCTCAATCTCCTTTCCATTTAAACCCGTTACCCCTTGTCCTGTCACTCCCTGCCCTTGGAAAAAGTCCCCCCCAGCTTTCTTGTAGCCCCCCAGGCACTGGAAGAAGTTCTAAGGTCTCCCCGGAGCCTTCTCTTCTCCAGGCTGAACACCCCAACTCTCCCAGCCTGTCCTCATGGCAGAGGGGCTCCCGCCCTCGGAGCATCTCCGTTCTGGACTCAACAGGTCCAAACCCCCGCTGGCCGTATGTGATTCGCTGCAATACAGCTCACAGTCAAACCACCTCATCTCACAGAATCACAGAACTGAATCACAGAATCTTTTATGTTCGAAAAGACCTTGAAGACCATCAAGTCGAACTGTTCTGAAAACCCAGCTAATACTCTCTTAAGATCCTCTGCTTCCCCCTGCCCACCAGGAGCTGGAGAAACCCCAGCGAAATCACAAACTGCCCAGGAGATGATGTGTCAGTGCCCTGCAAGCAGGTTTAAGTGAGGAGGGGCTGGGAACAAGGAAACCTTCAGCTGGATGGAGAAAACTTCTCTGACCAGAGCTGCTGAAGAGGAGGGCAGAGATGCTCGGAAAAGACTCGATGTCCCTGTACACATGGAGCTGCGAATGGAGGGAATGGGCTGGGAAACAAGTTGCTTTTGTAAGTAACTACTGCAAACTTGCCTGTACCAGATCAGATCCCCCTTTTGCCCCAGCCACCAATTCAAGTGTAATCCAAATAGCAAATGTTCATCCATCAACTGACCCAAGAAATGGAACCAAGAGGGCCCAAGCTCACGTAAAATAACCCCAGCACATCCTCAGTCATGGTGCGGGTACAGCCGCCGCTGCGGGACCAAGCCTGAATCTGCAGGGTGAATCTGTAAGGCTGGGACGGAGCACAGATTTAGGAGCAAGCCAGCGGAGACGAGGATATTCCTCACCTGACTGCCCCGGGGGTGGTATGCCCCCAAGTCCTCGAGGCAACCTCACGAATACGGAGAGAACGGCTGCTTTGTTCCCAAAGCAGGGCTCCAGCGCTATCGGCTTTGGTACAGTCTGCAGTAAGAGGAGGAAGAGGAGAAAAGAAATGTTAGACAGCGTGTTACACCCTCCCTCTTCCCCCAGCATCATCTTTTCAGATCGTACAAGCTTCAGGGCATGAACCGTGTGTCTGCACATGGCAGATTTCCAGCACGCAGTGAGAAAAGCCGAAACCAGCGTTAGCAACAATCAAAACCCAGTCATCACAAAACACACGTGTACTTAATAAACATCCAGCGATTAAAAAGTCAAGCTCTACACAAGGCTTCTTCCTAAATTTCTCCCTAAATTCAAGAACAAAGGAGCAGCTTGTGCTCAACAACAGGACTGAGGGGTCTTTTCCTTTGAACCCTTCAGCAGCAGGTCACAGATATCGGCACATCTGGCCGTTTGACTTCTGTTTCCAGAGTTTAACTCCATGTGACACTTTCCCAGCACCGTACACGTCCCCACGGGCAGCCGGCTTTCCTAGAGGAGCAGTGGCCCAGACTGGTGACCCTCAGCACCTTTGAACATCACCCTCCCACTGCGCTCCTGTCAAGGTTTCATTTGAATGACCAACTGCCCATTTCAATGTGCCATTAGAGGGACAGAATGCAATAGCACAGCCGGGAAACTAAAATCTGTTGCTATCTAAGCCAGGTCCCGGTCCCACACAGAATTACACACGATCAGCGTTATTGAGGGATGGCCTAACAGTCAGATGAGGATGCGAGTCTAAGCCTGTGAGCAGAGGTACAAGGGAGTGCCCTCTTTTCTTCCACATAAGCAAAAAACTTTAAGAAAGATGATTTCACCTGACATGCCCAGTGCTTTCTGAGTTCCCCTTCAGCACGGACAAATTCTACCCTGGTATTAATGAAATAATTATTGCTTTTTCCATTAGGTATGAAACTGTACTACCATACTTAAATGTTTAACAGAAACTCAACACAATGCAAAACACTGAATAAAATGAACAGGAGTCAAACAACGCTATTAAATTACTGCTGCTCAATAAAAAAAGAAAGAAATGACAGCAAGCAAAATAAAACTTAAAACTGTTTTCATATCTCATATTTACTGTAACGATTGCAATGACAATATGTTAAGTCTGTGCAAGGTAGATTAAATATGTATTCTACAGACCATAACGATGTAAGCTGCCGTCTGCCTGCTTTACGAGTGCAGATTTCTGCATCTTCTTCCCATCCCCAACAAAGGGATCAAACTCAAAATAATGCTTTTCCCACAAAGCAACCAAGCCTGCCCTGGTGCTGTATCCCACAGGCGACTCAATTACCAGGGGTAATGGAGAGAGCACAGAGAAGGCAACTGCAAACACAGCCCACGGACTTCTGCCCTCCGAGGGGGAGCACGCGCCGAGCACACGGTTTATTTTCTTTCGGAGCGAGCCAAGTACCTGCCTTATTCCATGGTTACTAAACCAGCCCTGCAGAGTCCCGGAGCTTGGGTGTTACGGCAAGCGCTCGCGCTCATCCTCAGTGCTGAGCAGAGTGAGATGCAAAGACCAAGCAGAGAAGAAACAGTGGGGGGGAAGAGAAGGACGAAGGAGCAACTGAACAAGCCAAGAGATGGTCTTTCCTAATACCTTTTCAATGTATTTGCTTTAACTCCTACTGGATTAATGGCCACGGAGATGCTCCGAGGGCTGGAGCCCCTCTGCCATGGGGACAGGCCGGGAGAGTTGGGGTGTTCAGCCCATAGAAGAGAAGGATCTGGGGAGACCTCAGAGTCCCTTCCAGTGCCTGGGGGGTCACAAGAAAGCTGGGGGGGACTTCTTCCCAGGGCAGGGAGTGACAGGACAAGGGGTGATGGGTTTAAACTGAAAGAGGGAGTCTGAGATTGGATATCAGGAAGAAATTCTTCCCACAGAAGGTGGGGAGGCACTGGGACAGGTTGCCCAGAGAGGTGGTAGACACCCCCTCCCTGCAAACATTCAGGCTGGACCGGGCTCTGAGCAACCTGGTCTCATGTAAGGTGTCCCTGCCCATGGCAGGGGGTTGGATTAGAGACTTTTAAAGGTCCCTTCCCACCCAAACCATCCTGTGATTCTATGATTCTAATCAAAATACTTCTGCAACTCTGTTCCTTCCCCAGCCTAAGTTGTTCAGTACAACTCTACCCCGATGTGCTTTGCCGCGTCAGGGGGATGCTCTGCAGCACGCTCGTCACCCTCCAGCTGATGGTGCAGAAACAGGAGGCTGGAAAACACTTCCCATGGCCACCGAATCCAGCCGTCACTAACGCAGGTGACTGCACATGGAAGCGCAATGCTCTGCTTTAAGGCAGTTACACTTTCAGCCTGTGCCATCAACCCTGTGAGATCTTTTCCCGAGGCTCCCTGCTCCTGGATCTCACTACTCCGACACCAGAAACTTTCTTCTGACTTCAATACTTTCTCACCTAAATTTATTCACCCATCTGACGTTCTTCTGCGACTTTAACCCTCTCTCCAGGCTTCACCCTACTGCACATCTTGGCCTTGTTGGCTCATTTGAGTGAGCAATGCTCTGAATTTCTCATCTGAACACAAACATTCCCTTCCCCAGCTCTCCCAACAGTCCCTCTCTGCACCTTGGCTGCTGCTCCGGACCACGGGGGACCCGAGAGGCCTTTCAAGCTTTGACAGGGCCTCTGTAATGGTATCAAACCACCCTGATTCTCCTGCATATCACCAAGCGGTGAGGAATAGAGGCCGGTCACTGCACAGTAATTTAGCTCATCTCTCAGCCCCAGACAGGACCCTTTCTCCTCCACTGCCCTTTCCAACTAACGAACCCTACACACGCAGCCAAACCTCTCATTGTGAGCCCCCGTAGGCATGATCTGTTCCCTTTCCAAGGGATTTTTATTTTGTTCCTCACGGTCACCCATCTTCTTCCTCTCTGCCCTCCCGATCCCACTCTCACCTGTGAGCAGCACCCGTGCAGGCCGCTGGTGTCAAAAGAGCCCCAAACAGGCCCCCAGTGAGCAGCAGCAGACCCTGGTCACACTGATACCTAAAAAACGGCGTTCTTCCATGGGACTGAGTCTGACCTTGATGCTGCAGTGAATTTTTAATCTATCGGATGTAGCACAGAGAGCTGAGGGCAGAGGACACTGACTCCTTCCTTCCCCTGTCGATCTGCGCAGAAAAGCTAGTAAAGAATTGGTAGTATCTCACTGCATGTAGAACTTTGCTTCTGTTAACCATGCAAAGCAAGGAGGTAAAGTTTCTATAACGATGCATCCAGAATCTGTCAGGCAGTTGCAAGCTAATTTGGAAGGAATTAAGCTCAAGATCATCTTGCTGCAGCTCATCTCAATCTTAAATCTAAAAGGGGAAAACAGTGGTCTGCTGCCCATCAAACCCAGCCGTTTTCCCGAGACAAGCGGCAGTTAATAACAGCAGAAAGCAGCATAAGGAATCAAGTCCTGCAAATTTATTTTTGGCAGCACCAGTTCAGGCACCTGCCTTTCGAACTGTGACTCATGCCGCATCTCATCTCCAGACCAAGAGACAAAGCGCGGCTCGCCGGCATGACTCACGCACCGAGTGACGGGGATGAGGAGTTTGATGCAAGCAAGAGGTCAGCTGGGAGTGAAGGGCATGCCGTGCCCTCTGCGAGATACAGAGAAATCCGGCACCGGAGCCCAGGACAGGGAGGAAAAACACAGGGGTGATTCAACCAGCAACTAGATGGCTACCTTGATTGCAGATCTCGCCCATAGCTGGCCTCGCTGTGAGCCTGCTCGTGTCTGGGCACGGCCTGTGTAGGTGCTACCATGGTGCAAAGCAGCTCAGGAGAAGGTGGCTGCTTTCATCAAACTGAATTTTCCTGGGGAGACCTAAGAAGGGCTCGTGTCTCCTTTCCCTCCCCACCTCCGCAGCGTATCTGCCTCCCATGTGGTTTCCGAATGCTATCGTTGCAGATACAAGCTAATATTCTGCAAGAAGGTTTGGAGTGGACTTGGGAACCAGAGATCGGGACGTTTGAAGTGCCGGTACACTGTCTGACAGGTGGCTTTAATAGCCCACTTAAAAAAACCCATAAAATATGCAGATTTCCAAACTCCGTAACACCTTCCCTCAGACGGTTACAGGCAGCCTCTGCCAGAGCATTCCATTCAGTGTGTTTTGATAAGCCCATTGTTGAATTATAGAAGCAATTCCTTTTTATTGAAGGCTTAATGGCACAATAAAGTAGACATTATTCAAATCTATGCAAATGAGTTGCATCCCTCAGACACTCGGCACACGCTGACTGCTTTGCGTGGTGCCTGAGCAGCAGAGTCCCACCTGGGAGGGGGGCATGGAGGGGAACGCAGAGCCCAGCTGCTGGAGCATCTGGACAAAGACCACAGGAGGATCTCACCTTTGGTGGTGGGTGAATCCACACAAGCCAAATTGCCCTCCAGCGCCCCGTCAGACAGGAGCCTTGTGCTTGACAAAACAGGGAGCACGCTTCCAGACAGCCAACAGCAAGACACGCGTAGCCAGACTATTCCCCCTCCTGGTTGGGATAGCCCAAAGGGATTCTGATCGTCCCTCCCAGCAAAGACCCGAAGAATGGATATGGAAGGGAAAAAAACCCCAAGAACTAGGAGTCGGGATAGTGCACATGTCAGTCGGAGACTAAGAAGCCAGGAAAGACCTCTCGGTCTGGCGCAGAGATTTAAACCCGCGTGGCTGGGCCGTGCGCACCTGCAGGAAGGTGCCCTGCAGCACCTGGGTTGGAACCAGGAAGCACGAGCACACGTTTTCCATTAGGCAGCGCTTGGACAGAGCGACAACCTGGTTTTGGAGGAAACCAGGAAGCTGGTGGTGTTTTACCAAGCAGTGACACAGCCCTACTGTCCCTTGAGACAGCAAATCTGTTCTCAGCTGTTTTCCACAGATGACTTCGCTGCCCAAAACCAGCACTAACAAGCCAAGCAACTGCAGCTGCCCAGGAGTTTTGATATGTACTTAATATGCGTAAAGCTTGAACAATTATAGACGTTAAAAGCAGTAAGAGACCCATTAGATCACC